TGTCTGCTGGAGGGGCTGCGCACGGTGGTCTGAGGGGCCTGTGTGTGTGTCTGCCTGTGGTGCTGACTGTTGTGTCAGTCTGTCGGGGCTGTGTAGATGCGCCTGGGTTGTGCGTGCACCTGGGTTGTGAGTGCGCCTGGGTTGTGCGTGTGCCCGGGTTGTGTATGCGCCGGGTTGTGCGTGCGCCCGGGTTGTGCGCGCGCCCGGGTTGTGCGCGTGCCCGGGTTGTGCGTGCGCCCGGGTTGTGCGTGCGCCCGGATTGTGCGTGTGCCCGGGTTGTGCGTGTGCCCGGGTTGTGCGCGTGCCCGGGTTGTGTATGCGCCCGGGTTGTGCATGGGCCCGGGTTGTGCGTGTGCCTGGGTTGTGTATGCGCCTTGGTTGTGTGAGTGACTGGGTTGTGTGTGTGCGTGGGTTGTGCGTGCGCCTGGGTGCTGGTGTTTCTGTCAGCCCGAGCTTGGTTGTGTGTGTGTGCGCCTGGAGTGACGGTGTGTGTGAGAGCGTGTGTGCATGTGCACGCTCACCATGTGTCTCAACCTATGGTTATGGGTGAGCGTGTCTGCTGGAGGGGCTGCGCACGGTGGTCTGAGGGGCCTGTGTGTGTGTCTGCCTGTGGTGCTGACTGTTGTGTCAGTCTGTCGGGGCTGTGTAGATGCGCCTGGGTTGTGCGTGCGCCTGGGTTGTGAGTGCGCCTGGGTTGTGCGTGTGCCCGGGTTGTGTATGCGCCGGGTTGTGCGTGCGCCCGGGTTGTGCGTGCGCCCGGGTTGTGCGTGTGCCCGGGTTGTGCGCGTGCCCGGGTTGTGTATGCGCCCGGGTTGTGCATGGGCCGGGGTTGTGCGTGTGCCTGGGTTGTGTATGCGCCTTGGTTGTGTGAGTGACTGGGTTGTGTGTGTGCGTGGGTTGTGCGTGTGCCTGGTTGTGCGTGCGCCTGGGTGCTGGTGTTTCTCTCAGCCCGAGCTTGGTTGTGTGTGTGTGCGCCTGGAGTGATGGTGTGTGTGAGAGCGTGTGTGCATGTGCACGCTCACCATGTGTCTCAACCTATGGTTATGGGTGAGCGTGTCTGCTGGAGGGGCTGCGCACGGTGGTCTGAGGGGCCTGTGTGTGTGTCTGCCTGTGGTGCTGACTGTTGTGTCAGTCTGTTGGGGCTGTGTAGATGCGCCCGGGTTGTGAGTGCGCTTGGGTTGTGAGTGCGCCTGGGTTGTGTGTGTGCCCGGGTTGTGTATGTGCCGGGTTGTGCGTGTGCCTGGGTTGTGTATCGCCCGGGTTGTGTGTGTGCCCGGGTTGTGTGTGTGCCCGGGTTGTGTATGCACCTGGGTTGTATGTGTGCCCGGGTTGTGCGTGCGCCCGGGTTGTGCGTGCGCCCGGGTTGTGCGTACGCCTGGGTTGTGAGTGCGCCTGGGTTGTGCGTGCGCCCGGGTTGTGTGTGTCCCCGGGTTGTGCGTGCGCCTGGGTTGTGCGTGTGCCCGGGTTGTGTATGTGCCCGGGTTGTGCGTGTGCCTGGGTTGTGTGTGTGCCCGGGTTGTGCGTGCGCCTGGGTGTGCGTGTGCCCGGGTTGTGTGTGTGCCCAGATTGTGTATGCGCCCGGGTTGTGCATGCGCCCGGGTTGTATGTGTGCCCGGGTGTTGCGTGTGCCCGGGTTGTGCATGCGCCTGGTTGTGTGTGTGCCCAGGTGCGCTGTGTGTGCCCGCGGGCTGGTCTGAGCAAGGCTGTCGGTCAGCTTGTGGTGCTTGCGGTCGGTGTGAGTGGTGTAGTTGTACGCCTGGGTTGGCTGTGTCTGGTTCTCGGGAGCTGTTACTTTTCCTGTGTGAGCCCCTATCATCCTCTGGCCATGTGTCAAGCTCTTTCTCAAGGGTGTGTGTCACCATACCCACAATGACAGAACGAACAAGTGCGGTCTGTTCCCGGAGGGGAGGGGTGCATTTGTGTGAGTATATGACTGGTCCCTGGGGGGTTCCCCACACTGGCCTGCAGGCTGAGCTTTGGGTAGGTAAAGAGGCCTGGTAGCATGGGTGCCCCCCTCTGTTTGCACATGCCCTGTGTACACACCAGGAGTCCACAAGGGACAGGAATGCCTGAGTCAAGCTGCTGGGCTAGAATCTCCACCGCCTGGTCCCCATCCCCGCAGCATTGCGATCCCGGGTTATTAATGCCGCCGCCACCACCCACTCGTCATACATATTTATCGCCCCCCTCATTCCTCCTCCCGTCCATCCCTCCTCCCAGCTCAGGTGAGGGGGGCGGGGGCGACAAGAGTGATTGACTCAGACAGACAAGCTTGAGCTAGCAGCTAACACCAGGAGGGTGGGCCTGAGAAGGACGGTGGGAAGGGTCCCAGGCCACCGTGGAGGGGAGAGGGGGCAAGGCAGGCGTCCAAGGAGGTAGGCTTGGAGAGGGCAGGGCCTGAGCCTCAGGGAGGTCATTGGAGAAAGGGAGTGCATAAAGCTTCCAGAGAAAGTCAAAGAAGGGGGGAGTCATTTGAACTCTGACTCCTAATCTCCTCACCCTTCTGGACCCAACATTGCCTTCCCAGGGGCATCCATCAGTCTCCAGTCACCGGCTCTTATGACTCCAAATGCCTCTGAGACACCCCCTCCCAGTACACCCCCGCAGCGCTCGTAGTCCTGCATCCAGCCCAGGACTTGTCAAGGGCTGCTTCAGTCCAGCGACTCCTCGCAGGCAGGAGCTGGGAGAGGGAAGGAGGTTTGGCTGGGTGGTGAGGGGTGCTGGGGGTCTCCCCGCCCCCGGCCCCCACCGCCCGGCGATCCCAGACAAATTGCTGTCTGCGCTTCTCTGATCCTGGCAAATCCCTGGGCTTTGGGCACCCGCACCCCCACCCACTGCAGGAGACTGCCAAGATAAAAGGGAAGAGTTGGGGGGGCAGCCAAAGCGACCTTGGGGGGAGCTCAGACAGGGAGGGGTGAGAGCCTGTGAGGAAACGAGCCGAGAAATGGGAACATGGAATAAAATAAAATCAAATCCTCCCTCTGGCTTCCTCGCTTGCACGATCACTCTCCCTCTCTCTCGCGCTCCCTCTTTCACTGTTTTTCCATCTCTCTCCGCGACTCTTCTCTCAGTCCCTCACTCTGTCTCGAATTTTCTCCTTCCGTGATTCTGTTTTTCTCCCTGTTTCTGTCTGTCTCTCTTGGTTCTTTCCCTCTATCCTTCAGGCTGTCTCCAACTGTGGGTGCAGTGGGAGTGAGGGAAAGCAGGGTGATAAAAGAGCCCCTCTTTCCCCAGACCCATGGTGCTGTCCCTCCCCCTCTCTGACTGAGAGTGGGAGCAGGGTGCTGTCCGAGGAGGGGTCCCCCTCGCTCCAGAGCTGGTTTAATTAAGCTAATTGGGCGCAGTGACATTTGCCGAGGGGAGAGGCTAGTCTGGCTGTCGGCGCAGGGGGCGGAGGTGCTTGGTGGCAG